CTGCCATGTTGGTTTGTTATTGTGTAAATAGCTGAAGCGTGAAGAAATCCTTCCTCGCTTATTGGTTAAGCCAGGTCACATGCCTCTGAAACCCTGGTCGGCGCATGAATTTCTTCGGCCGTACATTAACAAAATAGTTCGTATATTTTAAACTGAAAATACGACAATACTGCTGGATTTTACGTGGAGAACTTTTTGTTTTACCGAAAATTCATATATATACTACATGTTTCAAGTCAAATATTTTAGTCCCCCTTCTGCTGGAGAGGAATGAAACGATACAGGCTACAGCTGATGGCCTATAGCCAAAAAGAGGCCAAGTAGAGCATCTTATTCAAATATTTAAAAGAATTAAAATCGTGTACATTACACCCATACACCGCAACGCTCAAGTTTCAAAATACGGGTAACTAGCTGTACTGAACTTTCCGTGTAAATTGAGGGCGCAATTGAAAATGATAGTGCTCAGGGGAAATTTGATTGGCTGAATCTATGGCAGCCATCTTGGATGGTACACACTAGCTGCGTAGAGCGTATCGTTTTTTTACGCTCTCAATGAGCGTTGTTGGCTCTCTTTTTCTATTTATACTCTTTGTTATAACAAAGATACTAGAAACACAAGATAGAGTTCTCCACAGAAAAAAAGTGTTCCACTGAAATGCATGGTGGGAATACAAACAATGGGGCGCCCCGTACGGCTGGATCTAGACAAATTTCTATCAAACTTTCGTTAACAAGTCGTCGCGTATAATTGTCAATTCTCAATTAAAAAATTGTACACTGCGATGCGCTATGACGACGTACTATGGAACGCTAACGTACGGCATTGGAGGACGTTGCTGTGCAATAAATTGCAACACATTATCCAAACAAGGTCATCATTTATATCGTTTTCCGAAGGATAGAGAAAGGTAAAATATTGCGCTGACATTAAACAAAAAAATAGCTATATATCATAAATATATATTAACATTTTAACAAACTGGAATAGACACCCAGACAGTGACATCGGTGAATACCTCCTTGGCCGAGGTAGAAATCGTTGCTATTATCCAAATAAAAAAACAAAACAATTAAGCCTAATCATGGATCAGTAAAGAATAAAAGAACAATATAGTGCAGACGTATGGCTGGACGCACTCTAGTGATAAAGTTTTCCCCCATTAGTGGAAAAGGAAGGGCCGGGCGCCGTGTGCGTCTGAATACATTGTATATTTTTGTTCTTTTCTGCATTGCTGTTCTTTCAACTTTCGTCATTGCAATCTTTTAGCTTAATGTAAATCTGTTAACGAAAATTTGGTTTTGTTCTTGTGTGGGTTAGTTGGGGAGGGTTTTGCTTTGTTTATGTTTATTTTTGCTCTAAAGGGAAAGGAATTTAAATGAAAATAGGTTAATTTCTCATTGGTTGCTTTGGGTGGGGAGAGTTAAGTAAGTGGTAAATGGGTGGGGTATATTTTTAATTCTTGTTGCTCTTAGTTAAGTGTGTTTTGTTTTAGTGGTTTTGTATATTTTGTTTTATTTTCTTGGACGCACCTCCCTTTGGAAGAGTGCCACTGATTTTAAAGTGTATGTTCCGAATAAATAAATAAATAAATATACTAAGCAACAGAAGGTCGCCCTGTACGTCGGGCCCCGAAGTATAAAAAACTTGCATTATGAAAAAGAAGGGCACCGTCACCAGGGGCGGATTTAGGGGGGGGGGCCGGCCCGGCCCCGGCCCCCCTTTTGGGAGGTAAAAAAAGAAAAAAAAAGGGAAAAAAGAGAGAAAAAGGAAAAAATGATGGCCAAGAATGCCTCAAATGTTATGTTCGGGCGTGTAGAACACCAAAATTTCGCGGGGGCATGCCCCCGGACCCCCTACGACAGTGTTGTCTCAATCAGCCCAACTTTCGGCCCCCCTTCCGGCCCCCCTTTTGGACATTTCTGGATCCGCCCCTGGCCGTCTACGTCGGGCCCGATTTCCGCCTCACTTTTACCATAGAGAAAATAGAACAGTTCTATTTTCTCTATGCTTTTACTATCCGAGTGCTCTATCTTGTATTTCTAGTATCTTTGATTATAACAACCGCTCTACACAAGCAGCAGTTTGATTAAAGGGTGATGGACGTCACAACTGACTTATAAAACAATTATATTCAAGTAATTTCTTACACTATAGGAAATAGGAGCCTTATTATTTTCTTTAGAAAGTACCTAGTCTGCTGAGTTCGGGCAAGTTTTTTTCAGGAAATAATTGCTCTTTTGGTTTCTACTCACATATACTGCACTCAAAACCTGAATATATTGCTTATAACAAACTTGTGTGGATGTTTTGTTTGTGCGGCGAATGCAGACAGCGGCAGATAGATTGACAGCTTGTTTGATATTACGAACACAGATGGCATTAATACGTCCATTTTTTATAAAATCATGTGACATTTAAATTGGTATAATAAACTTGTACGGATTTTTTCTTTGTGATTCTAAAGCAGACAGCTGCTGCAGACTAACCCACGGGCGGGCGGTCGGTCGGTCGACCGTCCGATGAACGAATAAATGACATAAAAGCAAATGAGTTAAAATAAGACCATTTACAAAGAGTTATTAACAACTAGGTCTACAGTACGGATACGGTGAATAGCTATTGTAATTTGTATTGTGTTAGAAGAACTGTTTGTAGTGCTATTCTGATACATTCGTCAAAGAAATCTCAAAGCATTCGAGAGAGAATACAGTCACTGACTCTTTGGTTGGTCCAGGCAGGTAAAAACTGATTTATAAAGCAATATAGTCAAGTAATTTCCTACACTATAGGAATATAAGCCTTAGAAATTATTATTTTCTTTAAAAATTCAGCCATGCGGGCTTTGGGCAATTTTTTCAGATAAAATGGCTCCTTCGGCTAGTTTTTATCATTTACCTATTTGTGTGGGTGTTTGTGTGTGTATTATAA